AAGGGAGGCGACCCCGGGGGAGCAGCGGGGGAGGCTGTCAGTCAGCGAAACGCGAGAGGGGTCAGCGCTGAGGTAAAAGGTAGCGGCGGCGGCGGCGAGGGAGGGGCTGCGCGAGGATGTCTCGGACCGGCGCGGTGGCGAGGCTGGCGCGGGCGGCCTCCCCCCTCCCGGCCTCGGGCCCCAGTCACTCACATGCGGGCCCGCGCCCCCCTCGGGCTCCTCCCGCCTCGGGGACACCAGCCGCCCGGCGAGGAGGGGTGGGCCGACAACTTCCTGCTTCCGGGAGCGCAACCCGGAAGCAGTTCCACGCCACAAGCGTCGCCACGCGTCCCGCCCCTCCCTGCGCTTCCGCCAACAACAGAGCGTCGGACGTCACGGCGCGTGCGACAACTCTCGCGAGACTTGGAGAGGGGCGGGGGCGGGTCTTGCTCCCCCTGGCGTTGGTCTTGCTCTGGGGAGCTTTGGAAATTGGATTGTTTTCTTTCTTTTTCTTTCTTTCTTTCCTTTCTTTTTGTTCCTTTCTGGCCAGCTCAGCCTGGCATGTGGTGCTGGGGGATTGAACCGCGGTCCATGTGCTTTGCTTGGCTTAGCTTGTTCTAAGTCCGTGCTTTAGATCACTGAGCCATCTCACCAGCCCCGGATTGTTTTCTTATTATTGAGATTTGAGAATTCTTTGTATATCCTAGATATAAGGCCTCCATCAGATATAGGATTTACAAATATTTTCTACGAGTTTGTATTTTCTTTCTTTTTTTTTGTGGAATCGGGGATTGAACTCAGGTCCTTGTGCTTGCCAGGGAAGTGCTTATTCCATTGAGCCATCACCCCAGTCCCCCGCTTTGGAAATTGGAAAAACCCAAACTATATCGGCCTTGATTCCTTTGAGATTCATTAAGTCGCCTGTTGGTTCCAAGCAGTGTGCTGGCATTAAAGGATAGGAGCTGGAGGGGTACGGAAGTGGAAGGCAGCGCTTTCCACTGGGAGCTGGAAGCTAGGGGCAAAGACCGGGAAGAGAGACGCCCAGCCCCTCCTTCTTCTTGGGCCGGGGAGATGGCTCAGTAGAATAAGCGCTTGCCTTAGTTCAATCCCAGTT